GTTTTCTGTTTCTCATGTAGTTTCTTGATAAACTAATAGTCATTTTCATCTCCAGCCGATTTTAAGCCCCTCTATTTTGGATCATCTCATTAACAATGACCGCAAGCTTCCACCGGAATACAACCTCCCGCATACATATGTAGAGATGCAGGTGAGTTCAAGGCAATGATACAAAACACTCTATGCCATGTACTATTTTACAAATAATGTTGTGTATTAATATAACATAATATTATGTATTAATAATTACTATATGCCATGTATTCATATTAATAATTGTCACATAGACTTTTACAAATATTATTCTATAGCTTATTTGTCATGTACTATTTTGCAATATACAAGTAATTCTACTTCACAATACATTTTCTGTAGTTTTAAGTAAACTGAATTTCTCCCTTTTTTCCTCCTATTTCCAACTGTTTGGTTTAGTCTCTGCAGATCACTGCCTTCCTCTTTACCGTATGTCATGTTGTGATTGTTATTCAGGACTGGTTCACTGATATCAACTTATATAGGTATATCATTTATATATTTAATTACATTTTAATATGCTGTTTTGGTGCACAAGAATTATTCATTTTGTACACAAAATATATTACTGACCCCAAACCTTTGAATGGTAATGTGTATTTATATTATATACTTTAACTTCAGTTGTCATAGTTAATAATAAATAGACAATAAATTATCTTAGGCATTACAGATAGTCATGGTCACAATGTAGGAAACTAAAGGCTCTGTGTGGCATAAAACTAACAGCTGTGTCTATAAGCAGGTTTCTGCAGACTGCTGAGATGCTGAAACCCTCGACTCCATCTGCCAGTCATGACAGCACCGGCTCCTCAGGGGCAGATGATGCCTCTGAGTATTATCCTCACATAGGTCAGAAAACTATTAATGGTCATTATTATTCCTGAATCATTTACTGAGCTATAATGAGCTATCATGATGTATGAAACTGCTGGCAAACGCTCACAGGTTTAGTTTTGTATAAGGCTTTAATGCATGTGTTTTCATTCTGTTTTCATAGTGTTCTTGCAGAACAAAGCGAGGAGGGAGGAGTTTTGTCCACGAAACCTGAAGAAGATGCATATGGCAATAGACAAGCTTATGGCCCATTCCCACCTAAAATATAAAGGTCAGTCCACTTGACATGACAGTAAACATGTTCATAAACCCGACGAGATTTGGTTTTCAACTGATTGACTTGTTTTGCTTTCTTCTGTAGGCACATTATCCATGCTGGATTGTAACATATTCCCAGGGCTGAATCGAGATTACTTGGAGACGGAAGTCAATCTTTTCCTCTTACCTATGATGGAGAATGATGGAGAAGATGCTTTGACAAGAGCAGGTCAGAAAATAGTTGTTGTTAAGCTACATTTGAGAACTGTAGCATTATTTCAAGGAACTAGTTAAAAAAGTGAGTCATAACTAAATGTGTTCCTGAAAGTCTTGAGACATTTCTATATGTGTGTGTGTGTGTGTATATATACAGTATATATATATATAGTTCAATACTGCTGTTTATTACGTTTTTGATAATGTTTATCAATTGTATGTTTAATTTTTGTTTTATTTTATAGCTCATATTATCAGAGAGGTCATGCAAATATCTCTTTAAAATGACAAAAATTATTATGGACTTTTCCATGATTCTCCATTGTTCTTGATGAATCTACTAACTGAAGATGCACTGGGTCTGTATCTTTTGTGCACCAGGTTCAGTTCCCCCTCTTTTCTCTCTGCTGCCTGGGTACAGAGGTCACCCCAGCTTTTCTTCACTGGTTTCTAGATTCCGCAGTCAGATCCTGGCTATGTCCCGCAGTCAGCTCTCACACACAATTCTCACTGAGAAAAACTGGTAAGGCACACCCTGACACCATAATGCTTCTGTTCTTCACTTTGGAGCTGAATTCTTTATGTACCCTTTTTTATTTCAGTTAAGAAAGTATTAAACAACATTATTTCTATTTATCTATGTACATTTTAAGATAACGGATTACGTTTTTACAGGTTTCACTATGCGGCAAGAATTTGGGATGGTGTTAAGAAATCATCTGCACTCTCTGAATATAGCCGACTACTGTCATAGTCATGATGGTCTCACAATACCTGTGAGTTTATTGTTAAAGAGGACTGGGCTCCTGCTCAGATGATTTCAGACAGGATACAGTTCTCAAAGGGAAGATTGGGCCACAGAAATGCTGTAGCACAATGAGGTTTAACCATCTTCTTCTGTGAGGTCTGAATCACAGCAGCGGAGTGCTTTGCGGTTTGGGAGTTGTGCATGAGTTGGTTGTTCTATGAAAATTAGGTGCCTCCCAGGGTCCATCCAGTCATGTGTTAAACTCATTGTTATTGCAAAAAATAATATGCAAAGATTCAGTTATGTAAACATTTTTTTTATACAGTAAAAATGTGCAGAAGTCTTTGGTTTTCATATTTTATTCAGCTGATGTGAATAAAATGGTTTGACAGCACACATTGCTTTTCAGATACGTGTTTGAACAAAAACTTGTAACTTAGGTGCAATTACAGCATGAATATATATATATATATATAAATATGTATATGTTTCATGAAATAAAAAAAAATAAAAAAATGTAATTCCATCTTTATTTGCTAGGTGGTTTAATTTAAGACATCCATCAATATTCCATTATTCAATTTGTTTGTACTATTTTGGAAGATTGCTAAATCATAATCAATTATTGTTTATTATTAGATATTATTACTGAGATATCATAATTACAAGATTCAATGTACACTGAAATGTAAAATATATAGGAAAAAATATTTGAAATAATTTGTGATTTGTTTGTTTATATAGATGTATTGTTTATTAAATCTGTTTCTGCAACATGGCATCGATGAATATATTGTAGACTAATAAAAGACACCTGTAACGAGAAATATATATATATAAATATAAATAAAAATGTTGCGCATGCGCAATGCATAGACTTGCTGTCCGGACGAATTTAGGAGAAGGACTCGCGCGTGCGTACATGTTTGGGGGAGGAGCCAGCAGCAAAACACGAAAATTATTAATGAAATCATTATATTGTAAGTATACGCGTTTGTAAGGAAGACTTTCCCGTTTTCAACTCCTTTTACATACCATAAAAGGTGTGAGAAATATGCTACAATGAAAGGTCTGGCACTAACTTGTATCTTGCCCTTTGAAATGCCAGGTTGCTTATACAGGTTAAGAGATTTTATTAATTATTTAATAAAGTGAGATTGTCACCGTACCTGACATAACGTCACTGTTATGCTTAGACAGAGAAAAACACACAAAAAAAACTCTTAACTGCACAAACACAGACCACACCCTCTAAAGTTCCTGGAACAAGATTCAAACTGATTTTATATTGTATTGTATGACACTGAGATACTGTAAGTTGCACAAAGTACGGCAATGTATGTGTATATGCAATGCGTATTTAGACTGTAATACTGTCGCACCTTTTTTGTGTGCTGGTTACCTATAGGTTTTTTTTTTTTTTTTACTGTTTAAGCCTGAAGAAGCTACACAAGAGTTGTCATGGAAATCTTACCATTTGAGGAGATGCAGCATTGCAGGTGTCAGAATACAGCTGCAGCAAGGTGGTGACTTGTATTCAACAGTATGTAAGTGGTGCAATGAATTCCCCCTACATGTGAAAACACATCTCAAGACTCATCTCTTTCAATTAACTTACATTGAAATGACTTTTTGAATTGCATGCTTGCCATCTGTTGACCATCTTAGGCATGCACATGAGCAATAAAACATGCAAAATAGGCCTGGACTTTACATGTCTTGTTCTGAAGTCATTTTAGATTTTTTTTTGGTAGTGGTATTATTTATATATGTTTAGGGATCTATTCTAATATTTCTGGTGGATTGCACAGTCAGAAAGATGGTTCCAGTCTTGCTTTTAGTGCCAATGTGCCCATAAGCTAAATGTTTAGACCTGTTGCTCCAGTGAGACTATCATGAAAACTGGGTTACTCTGGTAATATATTTGTATCATTTTCATTAGGAAACGAGTTGACAAGAAGTACAAATATTGGTGAATATACACTATCATTTGAAATGTTAGGGTCAGTACGATTTTATTTATTTATTACTTTTATTTAGAGATGTTACATTAAAATGGCCAAAAATGACAGTAGCCCCTCACTGCAAAACAAAGATCCAGGGGGCGTGGTTGGATCCACATCTAGGGGGTGGAGATGGGTGGGTTTAGGGATCAGGGGGTGGAGACGGTATATGTAAGGTGGGAGGAGTTGGATCTGGATCCAACCACGCCCCCTGGATCTTGTGTTCTGCAGTGAGGACCATCTCGAAAATTATATTAAACACACTTACATTGTTACAAAAGATTTCTATCGCTATTTTTTAAGCTTTCTATTTACCAAAGAATCCTGAAAAAAATCACGGTTTCCACAAAAATATTAAGCAGCACAACTTTTTTTCAACAGTGATAATAAATAATAAAGGTTTCTTGAGCAGCAAATGTGCACACTAGAATGATTTCTGAAGGATTATGTGACACTGAAGACTGGAGTAATGACCGCTGAAAATCCAGCTTCAACATTAGAGGAATACATTACTTGTTAAAATATATTAAAAGATCCCTAAGTTATTTTAAATTGTATGAATATTTTAAAATATTATGGTTCTTATTGTATTTTTGATAAAAAAAACAAATGCACTCTTGGTGAGGATAAGCGACCTTTCAAAAATATGAAAGAAAAAACAAAATCCTTCCGACTCCAAATTTTGAAAGTAATAATATATATGTATTAACTTATAGGCCATCCAGACAACTTGAGATAAAGTGAAAGCATGACATCATGTCCTCCCTGTTTTCTGCTCTTTTATTAAATCTACACAGAATAAACTACCAGTTTTCACAATAATGTTTTCTTTGTTTTAGGGTTATTACAACATCATCTCTACACCTCTCCATGGTTTCTCAGAAGACTCCAGTAATGAGGATGCCTGCATAGCGCCACTGGCGCTTAACAGTGAGGAAGGATCCGTGTGCTGTGTTTGTGGAGACAAAATTCCCTTCCTGAATAAACTGATAGAGCACTTTAAAACGCACAAAGCCGAGGTGTATTGCTACCTGTGTTGGACAAAGTTTGGACGTGTAATGTCGCTTGGCGTTACACTTAAAAAATGCCCATCCAAAGCAAAGATTTGTGTGTGGAATCTGTGGTGCTCTCTTTAGGTGCACGTGGCATCTGAATGGACATATGGAAAAGCATCAGAAAGACACCATGGAGGTAAAACATGTGGTGAAAATGGAAGAGACAGATGAAATCGGCATCAAAGAGGCCATAAAATACACTGATATGAGAAAAAACACCTTGAGGGATCATTCATATTGTGTCTCAGAGCAAGTAGCTTCGAATGACACTTGCAATGCCACCCAGAAATGCATCGACAATGATGACAATGACAATCAAGCCTCACACATCAAAACAGAAACCGAAAGATTTGCTTTTATTGATAAACAAAACGACACCTTCAGCTTTTCCTTATGCCCCTTGAGTCAATCAGAGCAAGAGCATCTAAGCTTTAGACTGAAGGAAGAGAATGATATTGAGGATGGACTCGGAGAAACTGCAGCTTGTGAGGTGGCTGCAGAAGAGGAAATTGGACTGACGGAGGATGACGAAAGTACCGACACTGACGACGAGGTAAATCCTGACTCACTACCCCCTGGTGACACGGTGTACATCCCGGATGTGGACTTGAGTTCAGACCCTGATGACAGTGACTCAAGAAGCAGCTCATACGACCGTCACCGAAAGAAAAAGAGACGGAAAAAACAGACTCCCGACAAGAAAAGACCTGCAAATAGGAGTCTAGAGTCAGTCGACATTGCAGAGAAATTTGGGTTTCAGTCCGATTCTCCCTTTTGCTGCTATGGCAAATTTGCTCATTTGGAGAAGCACATGGACGATTGCAGGAACAAACTGAGGCTTGCTTGTTGCCTGTGCAGCATGGTATGTGAGAGTGAAGAGTTGCTGCTAAAGCACATGACCGAGAAACACCCCTCAGCTGGGTATATCTGTGCATACTGCCACAATGTTTTCCTTAGACAGAACAGTTTCAAAAACCATGTCTGTTTGAGAAGACCAACAGGCAGCATGAACTTGCCGGCCACCCCGGTAACCCAGTTACCTGTCGTGCCTTTATCCGACAGCAGCGTTCAAGTAAGAACTTCTGCCCCTGCTTTGTACACCAATCAAAACACCATTAAAATTATCAAAATAACTCAGACAGTGAACAAAGTTTCCACAGCCCCTGATCCTACACCTGCGGTGACCACCTTGGGATCAGCCGAAGCTTTAACGCTGCACCAATTGCTTCAGGCAACTCCTGTGATTCCTGCTAAGGTGACTGATTTGGTTCCACAAGTTGTGGCAGTGCCGCAAACTCTTGTCAGGCCCCATTTCCCTCCGATTTCTTGTTTCCCTCGCCCGAAAGTTCCTGTCCATTTATCTTCGGTAGTGCGTCCCTTGATCCCAAATCTGGCCAGGATGACTCTTCGTATCCCTACCCCTTCCAATCCACCTCTTCCAACTCAAGTAGTTGTATCCTTCTCACCCACTGTGAACGTCTTTGCAACCGGGCTAGTATCAGCCAACAGGCCTGTTCTGAGACAAATGCCTCCGGCTAATATTAGACCCCTACCTGCAAACATCCCACTGATGACCTCGGTCACTTGTCCTACCCTGGTCAGCACTCTTATTGGGAACAACCAGCCACAGATCCCTCTTGCCCAGGTTAAGGCTCCGTTACAAATAGTGGCCATGTTTGTGAACCGAAACAGGGATTTGGCTCTGCAGAAGCGACTCAAGCAGAGTTGGCGCTCAAAGACCATCTTCCCCTGCCGTCAATGCGGTGCCGTCTCGAGACAACCATCGCTGAGGGTGCGTCATCGCTACTTACACCGCGGGTCAAGGTTGTACAGATGTCAGTGCGGAAGGTCGTTCCAAAGGCAGCTGCATTTGCTGAGACACCAGGTTCAGCATGCGGAGTCAGTCCGATTTGTTTGTGCACGGTGCGGAAATACATTTGAAGGGGCGCATAAATTGACCTGGCATAAACAGAAGCATAGAAATGGCAGGCGGTGTGCGAAGAAGAAATGCAAGGTGGCTTTTGACTGTAGCTGTGGACAGATGTTTACAAGGCCATCTGCACTGTTGTGGCACATGCTTAAAAATTCAAATCTTTCGAAACACACTCGAAAAAACTCACAATCTGTCTCGGTTTGAATTATTTGTGTAAATGAATCACACATAAGATTGAAAACTCACCTTTCAATCGACTGGGTCAATTAACTGCCCTAATTGGTCTTTGTACAGTGTTTGTATTATGTGGTCAGCGGTGATGTGATCTGATTTTTTTTTGTAGACTGAAGACTTTGAAATTTAAAAACTAAAGTCTATAGCCGTAATAGCACAAATAGTAACATTTTAACCCCAAAGATAAGTTTTGTTTCAGAGAAATGTGATGTGAGCATTGGTATAATTTATCTTTATAATTTATATAAATAGATTTTTGTTCTCCGTCATAAGATGGATGCGACTACTGAAAGTAAAACTCATTTATTAATGACCAAAGAAAAACACTTTTTTTTTCTTCATTTTTTATAAGGGTTTTGTGTCATAAGGCAATGATTCACTCTAACCCATTTGTAATAAAAAAAAAAACATACATAAATACTCAGAGATGTGTTTCTATGCTTTTTTTTAATAGCTTTCTCATCATCATATAGTTGGGAAAACACAAAGCCGATGAGATGGCTTCATCAAAATGTGCAAAAATAATGCTGTAAACGTTTTTCTGTCATTTTCTCCTGGCATTTTTATGTATATTTCACAATACAACATGCAAAACTGAATTCCTGATCAACTTATCTTGATTCTTAAAGCGCTAAAAATGTTCTGGTTTGCTCCTGTCTGTTTATTTTAGTTCCTGAATAAGCAGCAACAGTTAATGATTGGTCAAATAATGACCTGACCTCTTTTCTTATTCACATTGCCCTCATATAATCATTATACTGCATACACATCAAGGTATTGAGTCTCTTGAAAATTATTCATCCCAAACAATAAAGGACAAGCACAGCCTTAACCAGAACGATGGCCAAACATGCAACATACTTTTATCCACCAGGAGGAGATACCAGAGAGGAATGATAGGCTCTGTCTTAAAGAACTTAAATACAGGCTTGAGCAATAAAGATTTTTTCCGTTACACCAGTATTCTGAAGACCATAATACGCAAAGCAAAACCTTTTCATGGTGTTATTAGAGCCACCACATGCCGTTATTCAACAGATGCCCTGTCAGGTTAAAGGGCTGATGGAAATTCAAGTCATTCACAGATTTTTTTATTGGGGTGCTGTGGGTGCAGGTGGTTCAGCCTGATTTAGGGTCGTTCTAAAAATATCAGTGTACAAGGGCAATAGTCTGTGAGGAAGTCTGGCTTACCCTTGACAGCTAACTACATGACTTACTCTTTGACTTACCTTTGTAAAAGTTGCCAGCAATTTACGGAGACCTTCATCAATGTGTAGTGACCAGGTTGTACGCACATTTAAATGTAACTGGGAAATAGTCTATCAAATTGGAGTCATAAAGTTATTATCATGCTGCTCAGCACGATTCATCCCAATTCTGAGATGAACATCTGAACTTCAAATGTTTTCTTCAGTTCGATAATGACTAACTTCCCCAGTATCAGGCAAAAACAGGAACAATAGAAAGAATGATCATTTTTTAAAGTTTCACATTCCTTCTGTGACTTTCACACTGATATAAATCAAACTGAGGCCTGTGTGATTGTGTTAGAAGAAATCTAAATTTGTTCCTTTGTGTAACACCAGAATCTCATAGTCTTGGTATCTATCATGAACTGAAACTCTAAATCAGGAGTCAAAAGTTTAAAGTAACCAAACAACCTTTTCCCAAGTTCATGTTTTTAGCATTGAGGAAACGTTCATAAATACACATGACAGAACGTCTGTTCAAAATAAAACTGTCTGCTGTGTTTGTTGCTGCTCTTAATCCCTTTGTTCATCATAAAGATCCTCCATCAGTTCAATAGGCTTGATTGAAGAAAAATTAGAAGATGAAGACTACATAGCCTTCAAAAGAGATGTCACAGGTTACCTGTGTAGAGATAGAGCCAGACTTTAATGCAAAAAACCTACTCGTTTAGGTCAAGCACATAAACACTGTTGACAGCATTACCTGTGGTCCAGTCTGCGGTGATTTAGTGCCTGTGTGAGCAGCTCAGAGGTGTTTTGAAAGGAGCGTCCCAGCTCGTCCAGCTTCTGCTCCATGGAGATGATTCGCTGCTCAAGCTCATGGTAAGAGCTGTTCCAGTTTGCACTCAGATCGCACATGATCATCTGCATCTGTTTGAAGACAAAGGTCCATTTCCAGATATTTCCAGCTATATTTCATGAGTGAAAGATGATTTCCCCCCATATTAAGCACATCAGTAATTAATAAGACACTCAACATTTGGTCAGTTTTCTCACTCAAAATATTTAAGAGACATAGTTTCTGAAAGATCAAGGTCTTGTTTTTCTTTTTATGTGCACAGCCTTAAGTATCACACAGGACACTGTCAGACTTAAGGTAGCTTTTACAGAGGTTTTTATGGTTTTACAGAATATTTATATGTCTGGGTTAGGTGAATGGCTCATTTATTCAGGCAAACTGACCTAGACACGAGTCTGATGTATGTCTGACTTACCTTCGAGAGATCCACCATCTCACTGGCATAATCCCTTAACTTCCTCTGCTTCAATCGCAAGTGACGAAATCTAGTCGAGACAGGAAATAAATGAGTTATATTCTGGTGCAAAGGTTTTAACAGAACTCTAGTCAGCTTGGTTTCTCTAGTAATATTTAATTCATTGACACTCCCTGGATTTGTCAGAAATGTGGTCTGTGACATGATTAAGGATATTATTAGTTTTCAAATTATCATTTTCTAGCTTTTTCAAAGAAAGTGATTTTATCACTTGATAAGCCTCTTTTGTACATACATACAAACATTTCTCATACAGACATACATTAGTTCTATTTATAATTAGTATAACTGAATTTTTTTATTGTATATGTACATAGTAAGCGAACAAATTAATATTATTGAAACCTTTCTGCATTCATGTAGGTTTTTGAGGTCATTTCAGAGTTAAATTCATGATTTTCGCTTTATTTTGTGACCTCGAGTAATGAACGTTTTAGTAGTACATTTGTTTACTTTTTGAAATAGGCCTACTGGCTGATGTCTCTGAATATGCTGTATCCCAAAAAAGCAAAACGGAAATCAGCTTTTGCAGGGGAACCATCAGCAACTGACGTAGCATGCAGAAATGACCAGTGTCCATGTGCAAAAAGGGAACAGACCGAAAAACACAAACCAGAATGACTTCCTAACTGTTTGGTGGTCTGCTTGCTGGCATGCTGTTTTAGCTGTCCCTGCAGCACCCACTTTCTTTCCAGAGTATTTTTGGTGGTTCTGCTAACTGTAAAACAGGAAGTCAGAATCCCTCCACCCTTACGGCCATCCACAGTTACTCACAGATCTCATACATGCACACATGGAACATTCTAAGAGCCAGATTCCTGTAGTCATTAACGATGTTAAACGCTGTGGTGTAAATTCAGACATCACAGCTTCCTATTCACTGGTCATAAAGGAACTGCAGCCAAAGGGGGCAGCCAGCTGAGCAGCTCTCCTCAAACTCAGCCCCTTATCTGCAGGAAGATGTCAGGACTGTAAACAATAAAGTGGTCAACAATCAGCTGAGAGACAGGGAGCTGCCATTCTCTCAATGACCACAAGATAAACAACCACAAGACCACATTTTATCCAAGCTGCTTCGCACTGCATAATGTGATCTCTGTGGAACTGACATGTCATGTATGATTTTATTGAAAACGACCAAGTGGAATACGATCAGTTCCCTTAAAAAAATGCAGTGTTCTCTTGCCATGGGCTTAAATAGTAAAATATTCCAAGTGATGGTCCAGATGTTTAATTGGTTAACTGTTACATGAGTTTGCTCATTGTCATATCTAATGTTTAATTTACATATTAAATGTTTAATGTGTTTTTCAGGTATAAATGTATATAAACATTTATGTATGATAAAGAACACATTCAGATGCTTACTACCTCAAGCAGCTCATCAAAGCTATTTGCTGAGCTGCTTGAGGTATAGTAAGCATCTGAATGTGTTCTTTATCATACATAAATGTTCATATACAGTGGGTACGGAAAGTATTCAGACCCCCTTAAATTTTTCACTCTTTGTTATATTGCACCTGAAAAACATTGTAAAGACTTCTGTTTTGTTAATAAGTGTGAAAAAAATTCACAAAATGGCATTAAAAATCATCTATTCCTTCAAAGTCCAATATGTAAAATTACATAAAATACATATTTTACCAAAAAAAAAATATATATGAAACTTTATAAAGTATTTAAATTAAAATGAAAAATCTGTAATATATATATATTTAAAATATGAATGTAAATAATTTTATTATTTAAATGTTTTATATATATATATATATATATATATATATATATATATATATATACATTATAATTTAAAATAATAATTCATTTAAAAAGATGTTTAAATATATATTTGTTAAAAAAAAAAATTATTTCAACTGCACAAAATTATTTTATGTCAGCTGTCCACAGACCCTCTGCCTTTCTCTTCTAGTGAATCTAGTATGACGTGTAATGGTTGAATGCAGACTGTAATGGATCACTCACACACGGATGGCCTCCAGCAGGCATCTCTGGTGATGATGATGCTCTCCACTGTTGTCCTTTGTATGGGTGGTGCGATGCAGTAGCCAACATTCTCTTAGCACATTGGCTGCTGCGTGCCGGATCTGTGTCACAGAGAATTTGATTACAGTAATAATTAATCCATCCATCATCGCTTTACAATGATAGTCTATTGACAGTCTGCAGGCCATTCCTTAAGTAAACAGTTGCATGTTTACATTGTTCAGAAGATAGCTGATCAAATACTGCCTGAAACTACTGTACAAGTTGCTGTCTGTTTAATTACACTCAGTAACTATAATATGATTATTTGTGATGTGATTGTGCAAATGACAAATTACAACATAACAGAGTATTACTAGAAAATCTGGACAGGATGTAAGGAAACTGGTGCAGTTTATTAAGGGGGCGGCCTTGATGAAAACAAAAATGGAACAACGGGAACGGAAGGACAAGTAATGGTTATTTTGAGGGTGATTTGAGGATGAGAATAGCCATCATAAAGTTATATGTGGGTTACGGACAGTCAAGGGCTTTTTTTTTCAATCACACATTCTGCTTTCTTTGATTCTATTATTGTCTGTGTGTCTTCCAGTTAAAGACCTGCTCATAATGATGTCACAAGCTGCCTGGCAATTTTGTGTGTTTGTGGTTATTAATAGAGTGTCCAACTGTCTTCCTTTAACGTATCATCAAGGTAAATCATTGCAGGACCTGATGAGTAGGACCTGTGGCATGCACGCACACACACACACACACACACACATTCAACAATAGACCCTGTGACAGGATATGGCTTTTGCCAAGTTAAAAACATAGGTTCAGACCTTCATGAATGAAAGGAATATTCTGGGCTCAGTTCAAGCTAAACTCAATCAACACCATCAGTGGCATAATGTTGATTACCACATGAACTATTTCCACTTGTACTCCTTAAAAAAAAATCTAATCAAAATACAGTGTGGCAGTGCAGTCTACAGTGAGGCAAACGCAATAAAAGTAAATGAGGCCAATTTGTAAACATTAAAATACTCACTATATGATTACTATTTAATACTATATGTATTAATATGATTTTAGTGTGAAAAACATTGGTTACTAGCACCCGATTTCACAACTTTCTTATTACAACACAACATCAGAAACCATAAAATGACAGAAAAATTATTGTAACAGCTTTACAGCTATAAGTGCTTTTATAAATGTTTTTAATTTTTTTCTTCAAAATTGGGTCACATTCACTTCTATTTGAAGTTCGCCAATGTAATGAAAACTAATAATAATTTAAATAATATATGTAGTTTTATTTACTTTGTATATAAATTGTATATTTATAAACTAATATAATATATATAATTATATTTTTATTAAATTATATTTTATAATTTTGTAATACATTAAATATTGTATAAATTAATAAATTAAATGAATAATTAAAATAACATTAATTTAAAATGTGATTAAAAAAATTCAGCTGTCCAAAAGTATTTGTGTCAGCTTCCCACAGATCATATACAGATCATTTAAAAAATGATGGATGTCACAGCCACACCAGGCTCATCCACCAGAATTCTAATCACCAGCATTCTAATCAGTCACACCTGTACAGATCATCTCATCACCTAGCCAGCACTATAAAAGCACACACTTCTCACTGCCTCATTGTCTGGCCTCCCTTGTGGATTAAGGACTCAAAACGTATGCTCTACTTACCCATGATCTTCTACTTACCTCCTTCCAAGATCTTTTTCATCTCCCCTGTCTTCTCCAGTGTCTCCCCCTATCTCCTCACTCGAATCCTGCTATACTCACCTGTCCCCAGCTCCTGGCAATCTCCATCATCTCATTAATTCTGTGTGTGCTCTCCAACTCTGGTAAAACAAGGAAAACATCATCTTCATTAATTCACCAAAGACTGTCTATGTACTTGAACTCACCTGCCATTATCCATTGCTACAAAACTGTTAATAAACACACCTGTTGGGTTAACGTTCCATCTTGTCTCAGAGTCTAGTATGACATAACAGAAGACCAGACCATAACAGCATGAACCCGGCAGGTGTGGATCCCTTCCAGGAGCTAGTGGCTTCCCTCCGCAAGGTCCTCAGCACACTCGTTCGCACTCCCACTGCACCACCAGCACCTGTTTCCTCACCAGCGACATCTTCAGCACCCATCTACAGTGCCAGTCCCATGGTCAGTCCAGCGCCCTACTCTGGCTCGGAGGATGAATGCAAGAGGTTCCGCCTACAGTGTTCGCTCACCCTAGAGGTGCAGCCGCATTGTTTCCCAACGAAAGAGCTAAAATCTCCTTCATTCTGTCTCTACTCTCAGATCGAGCGCTCCAGTGGGCTGAATATCTATGGAAGCAAGACGGACCAGCAACCCATTCACTCAATGCCTTCATTGCTCATTTCCAAAAGGTTTTTGAAAGACTGGTCAGAGATTCCTCCATTGGTGAGCAATTATACCATCTTCGTCATGGCAAAAGCTCCATTCAAGAGTATGCTCTCCGATCCAGAACCTTAGCAGCTTCTTGAGAGCTTTATTTAACTGTCCATCTGAGTCACCAACCGAGTAATGGGCTGTATGGAGGATAATCAGTACCAAAAACCTTCTCTTTTCCGCCAGCCAGAGGATCCCAGTTCTCCAGAACCTTGCAGTCCATGCAGATCGACCAAATCTGTTCTTGGCCGAGCATCAATGTTGGCTGACCCAGGGGTTATGTTTATATTGTGGCCAGAGTGGACATATTTTACAAACATGTCCCATCCATCCTCCTAGACCCATGGTGAATGTTGTTTCCTATTCTCCCGTTAATATACATCCACTCACCACTATTGTTCAGCTCACCACTCTGTTACAATTCATGCCATCCTTGTCTCTGGGTCAGCTGGCAACTTCATCTCTGAGGACCTATGCAACCAACTTCAGCTTGAGAAAATGTAAACCACATTCAATAGAAGATTCAATCTATCACTGGCGGTCCCCTTGGCCGGGGAAAAGTTTGATACTGGTTGGGTTCACTCCAGCTTCAGGTTTGTCAGCTACATAACGAGGACATCTGCCTGTTGGTTCTGGAGAACTCTACCACTGGGATCATTCTAGGGTGTCCCTGGCTCGTTTCACATGACCCTTCCATCTCGTGGTCCACCGGTGAAGTCCTGAAGTAGGGCAAGGATCGTTTCTTCAGGTGTTTCCCACAACTGCCTCGACTAGTCTCCCCGACTCCAGTTCTTCCTCTGAACTCCACCTTCATTGAGAGCCCTATCGAGAAGCGATCCATGGATATTGCATCAAGTTATGCCCACTTTAGAGACGTTTTCTACCCGAAACAAGTCTCTCAACTACCATCTCTTAGACCATGGGACTGTGCCATCGACATCCTGCCCAGTGAACCAGTGCCCAGAGGCAAGGTATATCCTTTCTCCATCCCGAATAGAAGGCCATGGAGGAGTATATCGATGAGGCATTGCAACAAGTCTACATCTGTCATTCCACTTTCCCTGCTGCTTTCAGCTTTTTCTTTGTTGCCAGGAAGGACAGAAGCTTGCGGCCTTGCATAGATTACCAGGCACTCAAAAAGATAACAGTTAAATTCCATTACCCTCTTCCTCTCATCCCTGCAGCCCTGGAACAACTTTGCGGAGCTTGAATCTTCACCAAGTTGAACCTCAGGAGTGCTTGCAACCTCATCCGGATACATGAGGGGGATGAGCAGAAGACTGTCTTTATGACCTCTACTGGCCACTATGAGTACTTGGTCATGCCTTATGGACTAGTCAACGCCCCCTCCGTATCCCAGGAATACATGAACAAGGTATTCCGGGAGTACCTCCATCGGTTCATCCTGGTGTATTTTGATGACATCCTAGTGTACTCCTGGAACGAGGCTGAACATCGCCAGCTCATTACTAAGGTCCTCAGGAAGCTCTGCGAACACCAACTGTATCTCAAAGCTAAGAAATGTACCTTCCATCTTTCCTCCATCCAGTTCCTCGAATATGATATCAGTTCCAAAGGTATCAAAATGGACGAGAGGAAGCTGAATGCTATCAAGTCCTGGCCCACACCAACTACTATTAAAGAGCTCCAGAGATTTCTTGGATTCTCCAACTTCTATTGCCGTTTCATCAATAACTATAGTGCCATCACCTCTCCTCTTACCAATCTCCTGAATGGCAGGCCCAATTCTCTGTCCTGGACCCCAGAAGCTACTGAGGCAATGAAGACGCTCCGAGATTGCTTCTGGTGGCCTGGAATGGCTCACGAGATCAGAAGGTACGTGAGTGGATGCCAGGAGTGTGCCATGGCAAAAACTCCACGCCATCTACCATCTGGCAAGCTTCTTCCTCTTCCACATTCCTCAGTGTCCCTGGTCATATCTAGGAGTGGATTTTGTGATGGATTTGCCTCAGATGGGTTCACCTGCATTCTGGTTGCGGTAGACAGATTCTCTAAAGCCTGTCGACTGGTTCCCCTCAAGGGCCTACCAACAGCGATGGAAACAGCAGAATTACTGTTCAGTCATGTGTTCCACAACTTCAGCATTCCAGAGGACATACTCTCGGACAGGGGTCCTCAATTCATCTCCCGAGTCTGGTGATCATTCTTCTCCCTCCTAGGTGTGACCTTCAGACTCTCTTCTGGTTATTACCCTCAAAGCAACAGCCAAAGGAAAAGAAGATCCAGGAGATAGGCCGTTACCTCCGTACCTTCTGCCATAGCCACCAGAACTCCTGGAATTTTTACCTCGCATGGGCCAAGTACGCACAAAACTCCCTCCGTCAACCATCCACGGGTCTTACCCCATTCCAGTGCATACTCGGTTACCAGTCACCACTGTTCCCCTGGTCTGGGGAACCTTCTGTTCTGACATCTGTGACCCACTGGTTCCAGGAGAGTGTGAGAGTCTGGGACTCAGCTCACCAACATCTGCAGAGGGCTGTCCATCATCAGAAACATCATGCAGCTGTCCGGAGAGCCTCCACTCCCATTTTCCAACCAGGTTCCAGGTTCAGGTTCAACCCTGATAAAACCTCACCTGCCTGTAGCTTTCTTGTAACCTTTCAGACCTTGATTAGCTTGTCCAGGTGTGTTTGATTAGGGTTGAAGCAAAACTCTGCAGGACTGCGACTCTGCAGGATCGATGTTCGCCACCCCTGTACTAAAGGATGGAACGGTCTGTGCAGTCAAGGAGATCTTGAACTCCCGGCGCCGTGGTGGTTGGCTGGAGTACCTTGTTGATTGGGAAAGCTATGATCCAGAGGAAAGATCCTGTGTCCCCAGGGATGACAACTTAGACCCCAATCTTCTAGCCGAGTTCCATGCATCATGTAGTCGAGGCCGTCCACCATGACACTGAGGATTTCGGCCCTCAGGAGCGGGCCGTGGAGAGGGGAGTACTGTCATGGACACACCAGGCTCATCCACCACTCAGCACACTCAATCACAAGAATTCTAATCAGTCACACCTGTCACAGATCATCTCATAACTCAGCCAGCACTCACTCCTTACTGCCTCATTGTTTGGTCTCCATTGTGGATTAAGGACTCAAAACATATGCTCTTCTTAACCACGATCTTCTACTTACCTCATTCCAAGATTTTTTTTTGTCTCCCTCGTGTTCTCCAGTGTCTTCCTCGATCTCCTCACTCCAAACCTTCTATACTCACCTGTCTCCAGCTCCTGGCAATCTCCATCATCTCATCAATTTTGTGTGTGCTCTCCATCTCTGGTAAAACAAGGGAAACACTCATCATTATTTTCATTAATTCACCCAAGACTGTCTATTTACTTGAACTCACCTGCCATTATCCATTGCTGTTGATAATAAAACTGTTAATAAACACACCTGTTGGCTTAGCGTTCTATCTTGTCTCCGAGTCTGGTATTCCATAACAATAGACAAGGTAAAGTTATTTTTTGTTGAAATCTTTATGTCACAAATGCTGTCAAGTAAGCTTAAAACCTGGAATATTCCTTTTAAAAGTTGAATATTTTCGGTGGTGGGAAATAATCAAATGTAACTACATTTTCAAAAACACCTGTCAATGCTTGCTCACTCAAAGCGGTCTGATTTAATTTCCATTTGTCGAAACTCTAAGCATCTACCATCTTCCTCTATGCATTTATTTTGAGGTCTCTCCTCCTTCTCTCTGATGGATCCTGTTAGAGGAGTACAAGCAGCCCACCTGCTCACCTCAGCATCAAGATCCACCCCTCAGCACCTTCTCTCCTTCACTCTTTTCCAGTGCATATGCTAACGCTCGCTCACCTGGACACATATCAGTGCATTTTATTTCCTGTCTGAATTAAACTTCTCATGGACTGACAAGTTTTCCTGACAGGGACCTGATTGTTTCCTCCCTTTGACACCTTTTGCTGGCTATCAAGAGCTCAGCGGCCATCTCTGCCTTGCCATCCTAAGCATTTTCCCATACTGTGCTGCTATTAGGAATCCCCTATTTAAGGAAAAAATTATATTACAAAAAGCCTCAGAAATTATAACACTCGTGTGATGTGGAAAATAATGCTGCTTCCATTCATGCCTCTGCATCCTCTGGGTCACTGCTTTTTATGTTTCTCATCCGAAATAACCAAGTACACATAGGTATTGATAAAAAGACAATGAAGAACTGAAAGAGAGTGGCATTTATGGGGTGTTTTATGTGGTGGTCTGTCTTGCTCACCCGCTTGGAGATCTGAATGTCCATCATGAAGAAATGCACATGTTTCTCCCCTTTGTTAAGCGCCAGTTTCTTAGTCATGACTGCTACCAACATAGCAGTACATGCCACACCCTGACAACAAACACATAGACATGAGCATGGTTACCATCTGTCTCATTATCCCAAACATGTACTCAGGCATAAAGTATTCAGAGTTAATGATATTCAGACAGTACACATAATTCTACAAAGATTCTTTGTAACAAGTGTATAAATCATTTTTTGGGGAATGAAATATAATGGCATTTATTTTATTCAAATCAGTTTCAAAATTTGGAAAGCTTTTCCAAAAAGAAAAAATATAGGAATGCAAACCATTAATAAAATAAAATAAAATAAAATAAAAGAATAATAAAATAAAGTGTAAAGTGTAAAATAATGTGCATATGTCTATATGAAGAATGTTTCCATGTAATTTTACACTAAACAGTTAATTTACCTGAGCTCCTTAATTTGTTGCATTAGAGAAAAACATTATTGAAAGATAAAGAAAGAGAGACAAAGAGAGAGGCAGTTAGTTGTTGTGAAGAGAAAGAATAGTTAGCAAGCAGTAGTAGGATTCTTCATGGTATTGACTAAAAGGTATGAAGACACGAAAGCTTACAGTTTTTCCGTAGTTGATTATTCACAGCAGTCAAGGAAAATGTTGAAGTGTAATTACAGATCTTCCCTTAGTCAATTATCTTAGTAAGCCACAATTAATCAATTCAAAGGGCAACATCTTTAATACTACCATAATTTTTCACAAGAGTTGCTCCCAAAATGCTCTTATATATTCTGCTGGCAGACAGTGTGAATTCCTGTGTTATAACTTGAAATATGGCGATACATATTAATCTTTTGAACTGTCCTGACCCCACAAGCAGAATTTTCAGGAATTCATGCAAGATGCAAAAAGATACACAACAAAAAAAAAATCTTGATTAGTATTTTTTTCCTCCCCCTCTCTAAATATTCATCAAATTACTCGGGAAGAAAAACAGTATAATCTTATATAAAACGGTATATAATTATGCACAAATTCATTGCATATGACATAATCATGAAAAAAGCTTTATACAAGAACATATCTCAACTTCTTGATTGATGCTGTTGTTACAAAATGTAAACTATATTATCGCTCAACGTCTGATAAAAGCAACTATAAAGGCATTAAAATATTAAGATATTATAAACATTATTGTAACGAAGGAGGCGTAGTGACAACCGAGTTGAAGATCCAAATGCAGGCTTTATTCGTAAACGTGGTCAGACAGGCAGGGTCCAGTACCAGCAAACAATAATATCCCAGGCAAAGACAAAGAGTAATCTGTAAACAGGCAATGGTCAGGGCAGGCAGCAAAACAATCATAAAAACCAGAGAAACAGTCCAAGATCCAAAATACACAAAGGCAAGGCAAGGCAAAACAAGCAAACAGCGGAGGCGGAACAGGGGGAGGGATGGAGGGTCAGGTCTATGTGGAAGTGAAGCAACAGGGGATTGAGGCAGAACCAGCGGAGCAGGGTACCAAGGCGGAGCCGGCAGAGCAGAGAGCCAGGGTGGAGCCGGCGGAGCAGAGAGCCAGGGTGGAACCGGCGGAGCCGGCAGAGCAGAGAGCCAGGGTGGAGCCGGGGCAGCAGAAGGCCAAGGCGGAGCCGATGACCACCAGAGAAGAGCAGACAGAGTTGAAGAGCACCAGAGTAGAGCCGATGAGCCGGACGGATCAGGCAGAACTGGAACAAAGAGCACAGAGAGGTTAACAATGGCCTCAGCGTCCGTAACAGGACTGGCAGACAGTTCAGAAATGGCATCTTTGGCCGTAACATGGCAAGCAGAGAGTCTAGGGCCAGCTGTTTTGACCATGGCTGTACAGTCAGAGAGTTCAGAAACAACCTCCCTGATCGTTGCAGGACAAACAGAGAGTTCGTGTCTGGCCTTCTTTTCCAGGATAGGACAGTCACAGAGTTCAGAATCGACCTCCTTGGTCAGAACAGGACAGACTGAGAGTTCAGAAACGGCCTTCTTAGCCGTAACAGGACAGACTGAGGGTTCAGAAACGGCCTCTATAGCCGTGACAGCACAGGCAGAGAGTTCACAGACGGCCTCCTTGGCCAGGACAGGGTAAACAGAGAGTTCAGCAAAAGCCTCCTTGGCCGGGACAGTGCAAACAGAGAGTTCAGGAAAGGCCTCCTTGGCCAGGACAGTGCAAACAGAGAGTTCAGGAAAAGCCTCCTTGGCCGGGACAGTGCAAACAGAAAGTTCAGGAATGGCCTTTTTGGCCGGGACTGGTATGACAGGGGATTCACTGATGGTCACCATGACCTCGTCAGGACTGACAAAGCGTTCGTAAGTGGAGAACCCCATCTTAAGAGGCGCGGAAGTGGACAACACCACCACTGGAGGATCTGCAGCGAACGCCGCCACCTCTGGAGGTTCTGAAACAATAGCAACAAGAGCTTCATTAAACACAGAGAGTTCAGAAATATTGTATAAGGTTGGAATGGAGGCCCCAGGAGACACAAAGAGATTGGGGATGAGTGCCACTGCTGTCTCAGGAGGAGCAGAAGCGGATGTCACCATCATGAAAGGTTCTGCAACAAAAGTTGCCACCTCTGGGGGAGCTGGAGTTGACTCTGGGACCAGAGGAAGCTCAGAAGTGGATTCGAGGACAGGAACAGACTCGGGAATGGATTCGGAGATTAGAGCGGACTCTGGATCAGACTCATTTGGCCGGAGCGGACTCATGAGCTGGGGTGAACTCTGGAGCAGACTCAGAAATGGATTCTGGAACTAGAACTGGCTCGGGGATAAATTCAAGTACTGGAGCAGGCTCTGGGACTGGACCGGGCTCTGGATCAGATTCAAGGACTGGAGAGGCTTCTGGGGTAAACTTAGGGACTAGAATGGGCGCCACCACCTCGGGAGGTTCTGCAGTGGAAGCTGCAACCTCTGGGTAAACTACGGTGGTGTGTGTGGTCCAAACACAGAGAATGGCCGTAGCCATAACTGGCAGGACAGAGAGTACATTATCTATCTCCAAGACTGACGGTGCTATGCCTGGGGAACTGGAGTGAGTAGCGGCCTGCAGGCTTGAGAACACTGAGTCTGCGTGTCTCGGAAGTGCTGAGTCTGCGTGGCTCGGGATGACAGCTATGACGTGACGAGACTCTGGACGATCATCTGTGATGTGACGAGACTCTGGATGATCATCTGTGACGTGACAAGACTCTGGACGATCGGCTGTGACGTGACGAGACTCTGGACGATCGGCTGTGACGTGACGAGACTCTGGAAGATTGGCTGTGACGTGACGAGACTCAGGCTCTGGAAGATCAGCTGAGACGTGAGCAGACTCTGGCTTGGCAGGCTTGACGTGAGCAGACTCTGGCTTGGCAGGCCTGACGTGAGCAGACTCTGGCTTGGCAGGCTTGACGTGAGCAGACTCTGGCTTGGCAGGCTTGACGTGAGCAGACTCTGGCTTGGAGGCTCTGCGTTGGCAGCCTTGCCGGGAGCAGGCTCTGGCTTGGCAGGCTTGACGTGAGCAGGCTCTGGCTTGGCAGGCTTGACGTGAGCAGGCTCTGGCTTGGCAGGCTTGACGTGAGCAGGCTCTGGCTTGGCTGGCTTGACGTGAGCAGGCTCTGGCTTGGCAGACTTAACGTGAGCAGGCTTGACATGAGCAGGCTCTGGAATGGCGGCCATGACGGGACGAGACTCAGGAGCAGTGGCCATTTTGTGAACAGCCTCCAGGCTGGCGGCCATTTTGTGGAGAGACTTTGGGCTGGCAGTCATCTTGTTGACAGTCTCTGGGCTGGTGGCCATTTTATGAAAAGTCTCTGTGCTGGTAGCCATTTTGTGAAAAGTCTCTGGGGCTTTAAAGTCCTCTGCCTCTCCCACAGTGAAAGGAGAACCACATAACAAGAGAGCATAGTCCATAATGTCCCTTAAACTACAGTTAAATTTCCCTTCAGGTAACCATGATTTCGTTGGTTCATTAATTCCATAACGGAAAAGGTCCTTTAACATGATCTCATCAAAAGGCACTTGACAGGACAACTCACAAAATTGATGAGCGTAATCCTCAATAGACAAATCTCTTTGCCGAAGGTGCAGTAGCTGGTCCACTGTGTCCATGATTGGCCTGGAATGCTCTAAAAGCCGCTGGATCCGGGTATGGCTGGTGATTCTGTAACGAAGGAGGCGTAGTGACAACCGAGTTGAGGATCCAAATGCAGGCTTTATTCATAAACGTGGTCAGACAGGCAGGGTCCAGTACCAGCAAACAATAATATCCCAGGCAAAGACAAAGAGTAATCCGTAAACAGGCAATGGTCAGGGCAGGCAGCAAAGCAATCATAAAAACCAGAGAAACAGTCCAAGATCCAAAATACACAAAGGCAAGGCAAAACAAGGAAACACGGGCAGGATAACAGAAACTAGGAATCATTACAGGCTAAACAATCACCAGCAAAGTGTTTGAGTGTGTGTGCATCTTTTAAAGTCCTTCTAATGTGAGACAGCTGTGAACTGATGATGAGATCTAATGAGTGACAGGTGATGCAATAGATGATGAGTCCGGCAAAGGATTATGGGGAATGTAGTCCAGGGTGAATGGCAAAAGTCAGGGATGGAGTGCCCACTGGTGGAGCTCAAGGGCACTCCAGTTGGTGATCGTGACAATTATCATCATAATTTTCTGAAGCTGCTTTGAAACAACGTGTATTATGAAAAGTGCCATATAAATAAATTTGACTTGAATTTTGACTTGAAGCTATTAAGAAATGTTTTCAGAGATTATAGCTTGAACTAAGTTTCTTATACAATTGGCAATTATCTCATTGTTTGCTCTTTTTTTGTTTTTCATGATAATTTAGTTTAAGCTTAAAGCAAATGATTTGCCATTGATAACCAGGGTTATTTTAGTATCACTAAGACACTATTTTAGTTTTTATTATTTTGAAGGTTTTTATTTTTATATTTTCTGTTTTCATTTTAATTTTATTTAAAGTTTTTTAGTAAAATTTATATTATACAATTTTTGTTTAATTACTTAGTTTTTTTTAATTATGTTGTTTTCATTCATTTTTATTTCTGTTTTAGTTGTAGTTATTTTAGTATATCAAAATAAACAATTAAAATGAGGCAGATTGCCTTGGAATCTAGGCTGAAATAACCTTAAAACATAAAACATAAAGTTTATGCTAAACTATTTTAAGTAACAAAAATTGTTTTATGGTTTTAGTTTTAATTAACTATAATTACCCTGTTTATAATCAGTGCAATTTTATTTATTTATTTATTTAATAAATTTATTTATTTATTTATTTTTACTCAATTTCTCAATGATATGTATATTTTTGGGCAAGAAGAGAAAAATAATGATTAAGAATATATATTTTTGCAGTGCAGGTGGTGGAAGTGCAAGTCAAACACACAGAAGCGCATCATACTTCCACTTGATGGGTAACAACAGGTGATAATGGAAGCTGATCCTGATACTGGAAAGTCATTAAAGTCTCATCTTTATGTGGAGAAAGTGATGGGAGGCATTTATATGAGACAACCAGGCATGTTGAACACGTTGAATGAGCTACAGGTGAGAGGGCTATCCCACACTAATGAACATCCCGTATACTGTTCCAACTGGATTAGGAAACTTTTTTTTCTGGTTTTCCAAGTCTTGGGCACAGGTTGGCACACTCTCCTGATCTAGTGGCGCCAAATGCTATAAACCACCTAAAAATGGCAATGGTGGAAAGTTTTCCCTAAAAAAAGGGGAAAGCTTATAAAAACACTGAGCGAGGGAGAGAAAGAGGAGTGAAGGATTATTTTCCACTGTGTCAGGGAGGTGTCTGGGTTTGGCTTTAGCCCCATGCTTCTGTCGTGTGAGCCCCATGCTCCTATCCTGCCGGCTTATCTGCCCTGATCGGAAATGAGGGATGGAGAGAAGAGAAGGGCGGACAGTCCGGTGCAGATGCAGCTGCCTGAGTCAGAGAGGGGCTGGAAACCTAACCCTCACGAACATGCGGCACAACGCAGCACATGTTCACAACACTCACTGGCACACGCACTTACCGTCACTGTAAACATTCGGTAAACATTTGTTCATTAAGTACATTAGTTATCATGAAAAATACTACTATAGCATTTATTAATCTCAATTGTAAATAAAAGACTTTGTAAATCTCAATGTATTGCTCGTTGTTGTTAGTTACTGTTAGTAAATGCATTAACTAATGGGACCTTTTCGTAAAACTTTGTTACTAATCGTTCTTTAATTTTCTGACTTTTTCTGTTTTTGTATTGTTACTAATCGTTCTTTAATTTTCTGACTTTTTTCTGTTTTTGTATTTATCTTATCTTTAATTTCTTTGAAAATTACCTTGATTTTAAACTACAAAATTTTAATTATATAATAAAAACTACCATTTGACCCTAAAGTTTTGAACTAATATGTGTTAATATTTATATTAATATTGAAAAACAATAGTAATATTTAATAAGCTTCTTCCGAAATTAATACATATCGACTATATTTTCAATCATTCTGTCTGAAATGATCTTGTACGGGTGTAACCAAAGTACTTGGTTTACAGACAAAACAATCTGTGTATCATTCCCTCCCTTCTTCACTTACTGAACTCTATTCTCAGATACACCCAGGCACACACAAAGACTGAGAGTCCATATTTAAAGCATTTTTTAAATATGTTCATAATGCCTTAAAGATATGATTTCAGTGTACAATCTATAACAAACAAAAAATAATTTGCTGGATAGTTGTTAAAATGCAACTTATTCATTCAGATCACCATATTTATTAATCATGCGACTGAATAGCTGAAAGATGTCACAGACTGACACTATGATTCTATTTAAATCATTATCTTCATCCTTCATCAGTGTGCCTGCTAGCACAGCATCACTGAAATCCCAGTTGGACTCCAGTGGAGTTCAGGAAGTTCTTCAGGAAGGGTGGAAGAACAGCTGTAACTGTACAAAAAAACGTGCCCATATGGACGTAGATCTTATAACTCAGTCACAAAGCTTTAAGTGTGATGAAGTGGAAGCTGCCGCATCTGCAGACTGATAAACCAAGTGCAGCCAGGTGCCATTTAGGAGACAAATTACTTACAAACCACATACACACTTGTTAAGACCGGTTATTAATTGATTGAACTATGTTGTGAATATGCATCTTTAATTATACGCTATCCTGTGATCAACGGGTCAGTACAATGTACATCTAAAACGTATGGCATAGTTACAGTTCATTTGTAATGGGACAAAGCTGAAAATGACTCATGAAGGAGTCTGTTGTGAACTCAGTAATGACTCTGAATGATTCACTGACTAAGTGAATCTGATTTAAAGCACCAGCTCATGAACGAGTTTGAATCTCACTCATTAAAACGAACATAAGAGTAATTTTTCACGTCATTATGGCTCACGCTGTGTTTCTTGTTGTGATGATATATTGCATACATATATTGTACACCGATATAGTTGACTAAAGCACATAGAGCAAAGACACACACAGAGTTTTCAGGCTAAATTATTTGCAACTATGTCAGTCAAAGTCGAGAGCTACCTAACAATGCATATACAACGTCCTATGATAATCGATTCACTGACTAAGTGAATCTGATTTAAAGCACCAGCTCATGAACGAGTTTGAATCTCACTCATTAAAACGAACATAAGAGTAATTTTTCACGTCATTATGGCTCACGCTTTCTTGTTGTGATGATATATTGCATACATATATTGTACACCGATATAGTTGACTAAAGCACATAGAGCAAAGACACACACAGAGTTTTCAGGCTAAATTATTTGCAACTATGTCAGTCAAAGTCGAGAGCTACCTAACAATGCATATACAACGTCCTATGATAATGCTAAACACATTTTTATTTCATTACTAAACCAAAGAAATGGAGCTCAGTGAAACAGTAGGAGTCTTTGTCTTCTTTCATTAAAAAAAATAATAATGTTTTGGTCTTTAACAAAGACTACACCTTAAGAAAAAGTACAGGGTACAACAAAAGTGATTTTCATTGTTCTGTCAATAATTACATCATTTATTGCATTTAAAAGAGTATCAGTAGATCTAGAGCAGTATGACTAATAGTGAAGAGTTAGTGAAGAGTTTTATTTACCATGACACCTGTGAAGAGACACACCAACTTGCCACAGCTGGTGTGAGGGGACACATCTCCATATCCCACTGTGAGGAAGGTGATGGCTATCAGCCACAGTGCTGTGTCCATGCCACCTGTCTCTACCTGCTGCTGCCTATAGGTAGAGACAGAGAGTGGCTGTGTAAATATACGCAGGGTATGTATTCTGCAAAACTAACAAAATCAAAAAAAAAACTTAAACTGATTGCAAATTTCTAAATAATTGTTGCAAAAAGACAATGACTCATCCATGCCATGACAAGTAAACCAGAATGTATTGTTCCAAATTTGACAGTCAGTAATGAGTTTGTGGTGAAGAGCAATTTGTTTGTTCCTGAAATAAATCTATCCATAAGAAATGTATGACCACAACTCAAATTGACCATCAACATCAGAAGAAGCATGATAACACTTGATGAGCTGTTTCTAATGAGTCAAGCAAAAGGAAAGTGAATGGAAAAAGCATAATAAATACTGTTGCATAAGTGTTTGTGTAAGTGTTTCTCTACAAATAGTTGCACATTCTGTACCTTTCACACAGTCGCAGCATCCAAGATGCGGAGAGCCAGAAGAACATAATGAAGACCAGCAGTGTGCGGGCCGGATACTTGTTCATTAGCACCTTGAGCACAAAGCGGAAGGTGAAGTTGATGTTGTTGAGGGAGCCGATGCTCCTGTATGAGGCACTGAGGAGCACCTTGCTGTGTAACAGGACGGCTCTGTGCACGAGATACAGTCTCAGGAACATGAGGGCCGACAGCAGCAGCTCCACATCCAGCACGACTTCTTTGTGACTGGAGGACAAGCAGAGGGGGGTAGAGGAATTGTGCTCCGGCTTCCCGCCCAGTCTGTCCCCCATATCTGGCCTCAGGTAGATAGCCACTGGATGGATAGCACAGACAATGAGCTCCAGGGAGATGCCAAGCACCCGGTTACTGGTCATGGCAATGCGCCAGTCCACCTGGTTGTGGTCAATGATGAAAAGCTTGAAGAAAGGAAAGAAAAACAGAGGCAGGATGTGTATCAACAAGAGAATCACTTGATTGATCTCATAAGGAAGCAATGATTAACAAAAGTATGGCAGAGACGAGAGAGTGAGCAAGGCGTTCTTGATTCACTGTAAGAACGGAGCCAAAACAAACACAGCCCTGCCCTCCCTGATAGGACGCCCAGCTGTAAACTGTTTCGCTTGTGAAGGACAAGTGTGTCAGTGAAACTACTCGAAACCATAAATCAGAAATGAATGGCTCATTAATTACGACACAAAAAATATTAAACATGACTTAGAGCTGCAAATGAGTAACACCATATAAATCAACAGTCGTCTTGGACAGTTTGAAAAGTACATGGACCAGAATTTGGCTGTAATTGTAATTGTTGCTTACATTTTCCTGCTACACTTATTGTACCAGTTCCAGCAGCTGTATAATCTGCAAAAGTTTTTCTCTCTGCACTGCAGAATTCTCCTCATCCATGAGGTCATTGGGTGCGATGACAAGACATGGAATTCTAGGTAATTTGATCAAACATTTAAGCATTTTAAATCAATAGAGACTTACGTGGCAAATAGGCATGGGTTAGAGAGGAAAATTCATAATGCTTAAACTGCACCAAATACTGTAAAATATTAAGTGTAACATAATTAACCATACCATAATCACAATATAAATATATTTGTAGTAGTGTTATTTTATTGTATGTGCATCCCAAGTGGTTCTAGGGGGTATTTGGAAAGGTTTTGCTTTTGCTTTTGTGAAACTCATAAAAAAATTAATGAAAAACATTAAAAATAAAAACATTAGAGGTGTCAGTACATTAATATACTTAATCTTGATTACAATCTTGATAAAAGAAAAAAATAAAGAATAAAATTTTTTAAAGGTTATTGTGAATTTTCTGACATTTTTCTTGTAATTGCACATTTATATCTCCCAATTCAGACTTTTCTTCTCAGAAATGCACTTGCACTGGTAGATACATTAAACTTTTAGATTTTACATGAACTTTTATGAAGTGTTTCTGTAGCTCAAACAGTAGAGCAGAGCATGGCATTATAACACTAAGATCATGGCTTCGATTCCCAGAAAATGCATTAACTTATAAAACAAAATCTTATTATTAAACTTATTATTTATATTACAAAAACAAAATATAAACAAATTATGTTGCTCTATAAATACTTAAAGGGTTAGTTCACCCAAAAATGAAAATTCTGTCATTAATTACTCACCCTCGTGTTGTTCGAAACCCGTAAGTCCTTCATTTATCTTCGGAACACAATTTAAGATATTTTTGATGAAATATGAGGGCTCTCTGACCCTCCTATAGACAGCAAGGTAACTACCACGTTCAAGGTCCAGAAAAGTACCAAGATGATCAACAAAGTAGTCCGTGTGACATAAGTGGTTCAACTGTATAGTTATGAAGCTACAAGAATACTTTTTTTCTGTAAAGAAAACAAAAATAATGACTTTATTCCACATTTTCTTCTGTACTGCGTCACTTTGGACACGTGTTCATGACAGTACCATGACGCGAGCGTGTGGCGGCGCCGGCGCTGACCCAGATCTGGCGTGATGACGTCATTACGCCGGATCTGGGACAGTGCCGCCACACGCTCGTGTCATGATACTGTCGTGAACGCACGTCCACAAGGCTTTTCTGGACCTTGAACGTGGCAGTTATCTTGCTGCCTATGGGAGGGCCAGAGAGCTCTCAGATTTCATCAAAAATATCTTAAATTGTGTTCCGAAGATGAACGAAAGTCTTACAGGTTTGGAACAACACGAGGGTGAGTAATTAATGACAGAATTTCATTTTTGGGTGAACTAACCCTTTAATAAAAAGGGTTAGTACTTTTCTTGAAAGGAAGCTTTTCGCCCTGTTGTACACAACTGATAACATAAAGTATGCAACATGTGGTTGCATAAGTTCCTGCTTTGATAAGAACACTACCAATACTTAACAGTCACCCAAATCAACAAAAGACTACTTGACTACAAAAGTGTTGGCCTTAATGGAGCAGTGTAAATATGTCAATGTACGACATTGAATATATCAGCCCATATGAAATCTTACATTTATTTGCTTCAATAGAAGTTAAGCAAACCTATTAATCTGGCTGCAGAGAGTCAGATATTTTGTCCCTTTACACTTCACAGTGAGGATGAGGGGTGCAATTTGAGTCCCATGGGAACACAGTTAAGGGTTCGTAGGGCACAGGGAATGGGGTGGGGGTTGGGCTGAACTGAGAGAGATGTGAGATTGTGTAAAAGCAGGTGATGTCTTGGCAGAGTGGGCCGATGGAGACATGTGCTGAGGTACTTAAGACTAGCGGCAGCTTTTGGCCAAATGTCATGCCTTCCCAAAGTTCAGCACATTTTAGAAGACATCTATATGACATACACTCTCAGAAGACCCCAATTAAAAGTATTTTTCTGTTCTATCACCCTAATACATGTATATTAT